AGTATGGGAATCAAAGTCTTGGAGTAAGGGTATACTCGCCACTGAGCGGAGGTAAGTCCTAACACCCACCTACCCTATCCCCTCTACATAATCCACCATCTCTAAAACCATTTCCCTTCCTATCTCTCCACCATCACCGCAATTCACCATCTCCACCATACAACCTACTCCCTCCCACTTTCCATTAATTACCTAATAAACACAATTTATATTATCATTATTAATGTTGCTAAGTGGATCACTGTTGTGAGCATATACGATATATGAATACTTGAGGAATAATATGAGCTTTATGACATGGACTAAGAACATGAATTGTGATGATAATTGAACTGGTAAACTAAAACCTATTTCCGATGGGAGCAAGTGGGGGTATTTCCATGTGGTGTGGATTACCTTTGGCAAGTTCGCCTAGTGAGGGTTCCTGTTGGGAGATACTCGCTTCGGTGATATAAGGACCGGTTTATTTTCCATCTCGCCTAGCCAGATATCTCGTACAACCACATGTCTATATGGGTAGACTTGATCCCACACCCCGTTAGATAGAAGTATAATTTCTACTAGGAAGCCGGTGTTGGTAGTGGAATATCAGGAGAAGACCCGGTTGCTGAGTGATCTTCCATGGTCCAGTTGGCGTGGTTGCTAAGTGATGTTCCACATTAAGCCCCTTGATTGGCCATGTTCGAGCCCCCTTTTATTGACTGGATGATGTGGTATCATCTGAAGTTTTTCAACCCCTGAGAAGCCGTGGTAGAATTATATGGACATCTAAGATCGCGCACTTTCGGGTATAGGGTCTCGTTAGGCCTATTTCTGCCATCGCGCATGGTTAGAAAATGTGCGTATCATGTGGGGAAATTTGCACAACCTCTGCAAAGTGTATTGAATCTATTCGAATAGCCACGTCCTTGGAATGGGAAATCGCTGGGATGAGATCACAAATGATTAGATGCTTTTATATAAAGAAAATGTGATAATCTGGTAAGTTGGAATCTATTAATCTGGTAAGATGTAACCTATAAACCCTGAGAACTGGCGAGAAGGATTAATACTCTCCCAGGGCCCAACCATATTTTTAATATGACTTTATTCCTAACATTACTATCCATCATATCCAACATATATCCCTCCACCACCTTAAACCACCACCACATATAGCCTCCGCCATCCGCCTAACCTCCACCCCAAGTTAGGGCTTGCTGAGTACTTTATGTACTCAATCTACTCCATTCTATGTTTTTAGGAAGTAAGCTACAGGAGTATATACGAGGATGGAATCATTCAAGCTACGCAAGGGAAATGACAATAGAAGTGTACACGAAGACGGGGCCGCACAACTACACCAAAGGAACTACGCTAGGATCGAGATATAGGATAAGTCTAGGGTTTACGTCTGCACTCCAAGTTGCCTGTAAGAATAGAGCTACGACGATTTAGGACCGCTGTGTAAAAACTCATATATATATATATATATATATATATATATATATATATATATATATATATATATATATATATATATATATATATATATATATATATATATCAAGGCCTATGGCCCAGCTATGTAAATATGAACTTTGTAATGTTTTTTTCCGCTAGCAATAAAAGTATAATTTTTTATATCAATCTTGTTCGAATTGTGCGTTTCAGCTACTGATCCAGGGACTGATACATAATGCACAAAGGACCCTAAAATAGGGCCCGACAGAGATTGACATGAGAAAGATAGTTTTAACTGCACAGGGTAGCCCTTTGATATCCCATTTGTGGTTTTTCTTTAGGGTGTGGTGCAGTGGTGCCTATATGTGTCAAGTGGGGAAAGAGTCCATTGCCATGTATAAACTCTTTTCCTACCTTAATTGAAAGGTAGAGCTCCTGCCACTTTTCCATTGCAGATGCGATTGCAATCAAGCTTGAATATTTTCACGCCAATGCCAGAGTGGCTCCTGACAATGGTGTCAATTTCACGGCAGAAGTTGACGCAGCACGCACTTGGCTTCAAGCCAATCATATCTTCATCGAAGATGAGATTTGGACGACCTCTCCAGGAACGTAGAAAGGCATGAGACACGCAAGTAGCACGAGCAGCTTCACGCATTGGCATTAGGCAATGTATATAGCCCAAGATATCCTGCATGCACAAAACACAGGATAAAGTCTATATATAAATTTATAAAAGATCTGCTCTACTTTTATAAATTTGATTTCAGGAACCAGTTGCAGGACCAAAAGGTTTCGAATAACGCTGGCACCTAGCTAGCACAGTGCCAACAATAATTTGTGCAGTTAGGCCAGCAATAAGATGATATGTATTGTGCTTGGAATATAAGCCTCCCATCATCAGTATGTTAGGCCAACATACCTCTGGAAGTTCTGGGATCGAACGTCTCGTTACTTTGGCAGCCTGATAATCGCCATCTTGTTGACATGGTGAGCCCTTTCTTCTTTTATTGCGTTAAAAAAAGAGCCCTTTCTTTTAGTAGGCTCTGAAGAATCCATCTGCAGTTCGACAAGCACAGTGACGAGTTGTTATCATTAGAAGGAAAAAACGAGCTGTTATCCATATGTGGTCAAAACAGCTTACGGCTACAATTTCGCATGGCAATTTTGCATGCCCTTGAAGCACATGTAGGTTGTAATTTTGTGCATACACATTGTGCTCGTTTATGCATTGGGTATAGCTCTAGAAAAGATCAAATGGACTCGAAGCTCAGTGATCTCAACCGTTCCTTATTGGTTATTGCTGAGAAGCTTTTGCTCAGCCATATTCCGTCTCTGTTGGGTTTAGATTTGAACTTTGTAACAATCTTTCAGGTAAACAACTTTAGATTAGAATTTGTCAGCTATAAAGCTGCAAATCACATCAAGTTAATTTCATATAAAGATAGTTTCATTTGACATAATATGAGAAAGGTATAATTTCCTTGAAAGTCACCCGTCGATGAGCTAATTATCACAAGAAGAAGGAATTGTACGCTTAAACTATATGTTTTTTTCTTAAAAAATTGCGCCATATGATTTGCCAAAAACATATTTTCACCATTTCAAATATCGTATTGTTGCCCTTCGGTTGGAGAAAATATGGTTTGGTGTTGGATATTATTTTGTGTATTCGAAAAAAGCTATTTGTCTTCAAAAAAATTCAAGAAAAACTATTTGTCCTCAAAATCTTCAAATTTATGCAGAAATGGATAATTCTTTTGAGGGAACAAGATGCCGAGTTCTTGGATGAAAAGCTCAAAGCTATGAAGACTTGGCTGAATGACTTCTGGCGTCGAAGGGTATGGAAGTGGAAGGCGTTATCTGGTTTTGGATTTCGTTATCTGGTGGCTATAGGTTTCTTTCTGGTTGTTTCAGTGAGATGGGTTGACAGTTTTGTTTGTCAATGCTGTAAGACCTTAATGCTTTCTATAAAAGCTGGGTTTTCCTCTGTAACGAACTGATCATAGATTAGTTGGTTATGTTTCTTATAGTGGAACCTGCTCATCCGGATTCAAGTTCTCGACTTGGCACGAGTGCTCGCATTTTTCTGGCTTTATTCCAGGATTTATCGGCGCTATGCTTTCAGTGGTAGGCGACGTCCCCCTCGACAGCCAGGCGCGTGTGGTGACTTCGTGAATCTCGAGATCTGCCGGCTCAGTCCTTCAGAGGTGCTCATAGGGGTAGGGTTTGCCTACGTGTGTTCATAGGGGTGAGTGTGCGTGCGTGTTGTGCGCGTCTACATTGTACTATGTAATTAAAAAAAACTATTTATACATTAGTTAATCCTACGATTATTTTTGTATAAAAACAAATAAAAATCGAGATTTCTCAAGCAGAACTGAAAGCATGTCCGTAATGGGCCAAGCCCAAGAGCCTGCTCACACGGCCAGCCTCGTTGCCTGGCATGAGCCGCCCCCACAGCCCTGGAGTGCCACCGACTTGGCGGGCCCACCAAGGCGTCTTGGCGCGCCGAGAGCCCCACACGCCAGAGCCCTGCCTCCCTCCCTCTCTCCCAATTCTCCGGCCGCCCGCCTCCCTCTCCGCCGGCGGCGAGGTGTGATGCCACGAAGGCGGCGGAGGCGCCGCCCATTTGATGCGCCCACGGCCGCCTCCTCGCGGCGCGCTGTCCAACAATCACCTCCTCCGCATTCGCCGCTGCCTGCCACCCGTTTGGCTTAATGCCGCCCCCGCTGCCTCCTCCTCCTCACCCGCGTCGCTCTCATCCCTCATATGCTCCTGCACGTCCCAGCGCGCCCGTCGCCCCGGCGAGCAGGCGCACGCGCGCGCCGTCGCGCTAGGCCTCGGCGCGCACCCCTCGGTGCTCCCCAGGCTCGCCACCTTCTACATCGCGCTGGGCGACCTCCCCGCCACGCGAGCCGCCGTCGAGCGGGCGGCGGGAAAGGCGCGGGCGTTCCCGTGGAACCTGCTCATCTGGGGGTATGCGGACCGTGGGCTTTGGTACGACGTGGTCCTCGCGTACCGCAGGATGCTGGCGCTGGGCGTGGCCGCCGACAGGTTCACGTACCCGTCGGTTCTGCGCGCTTGCGGCGAGCTACGGGATGCCTCCGTTGGCCGGGAGATTGAGCAGCGCGTTCGGTCGTGGGGATATGGTGTGGACATGTATGTCTGGAACGCTACGGTGGGGATGTATGCCAAAGTGCGGGGAGACGGAGGTACGGATGAAAACGGTACGGATATTTTTCGACCGTATTTGAAACCGAATCTGTTTAGAGGGGTTGAGATCTGTCCGTATCCGAGTCCAGATATCCAACATCCGATACCGTATCCATATCCGAATACTCAAATCGTATATTTTATGATGTCGATATCCAATCGTATCCTATCCGACATAGTTGACACTATCCGTATTCGAATCCGAATCCGGACAAAAGTATGAAAATAAAATTAATATCGGTGATATCCGTCCGTATCTGATCCGTTTTCATCCCTAGATGGAGGACACGCACAGGGTGTTTGATGGAATGCCTACGCGTGATGTTGTCAGCTGGAACGCCATGGTGTCTGGTTACGTGTTGGCTGATATGTGGGGCGAGGCATTTGACCTGCTGCAGTGGGTTCCTGGGGTGAACATTGTCACATGGAATGCGGTTGCGGCAAGAAATTTGAAGGCGGGGAACGACGGCGAGGTGATGAGGTTGGTGTCGCAGATGAGGAGTTGCCATGGTCCGGGGCTGGATTCTGTGACTGTTGTGATTGGCCTCAGGGCATGTTCTAGGAGTGGGTATCTGAGGATTGGCAAGGAGTTGCATGCTGTGTCTATTCGTCTATGTTTTGATAGGCTTGAGCGCGCGGAGAGTTCATTGATCACAATGTACTCCAAATGTCAGATGATGAGCTCTGCATATTGCCTGTTCAGAACACGCTCAACTCAGAGCATAGTAACATGGAATTCATTGCTACCAGGATATGCATTCATGGACCAGGTTGAGGAAGCTATTTTGCTTTTCAGAGATGATTTATTCCTCTGTCTTTCCAAATGATGTTACTGTCTTAACTATGCTTTCACTTATTGCACGTTTTGGACACCTCTGTCACGGAAGGGAGATGCACTGCAATAACGTGCTTAGGTCTATTACTTCCCCAACCTTATTTGGGATGTGCGTTTGACATAAACAAGCTGGAATACTTTACTTATCAAAGTGAAACTATTATGAGGTGCTTTCTGCTGTCGAGGTTACAGGTTTTCTTTCATCAAAATCGTCTAGTGTTTATCCATAGAAATATGTTGTTCTGAAGAATGATCTATGCGTCTCTGTTTCTGTCCAGCTTGACCTGCTGTGAACAAGTGGTATAATATAAGCTCTATGGACACCCATTCATGGAACTGAACTTTGTTGGAGTTTTTATTTTATGGCTCAGTATGTGTGGTGCGAATCTAAGTGATTGTCCGTGACCGGAATAATTACAATGTTTTGTTTATACATAAGAAAGCATCTGTATCTCGGACCTTATCACCCTCGTTTATACTGAGCATGTATATATCACTGAAGCTCTTTGTTGGTGAAGTGATATCAAGCTAGGTGGACCATGCAACTATGGTTGCTGTTCTTTTAGCATGCAGCCACTGCAGGCAGCTAGCAATGAGGACAGACAACTCGTAGTCTAGTACAAGTTAGTCGTAATGAGAGGCAACCTGCTTAATCACCACCTGTGTTGATGCTCAATGTTTGACTTCAACAGAGTGGAACCACAAGCAGAGAGCATATAACAAACTCGATCATAGATTATTGTAGCTTGATTAATGGTTCACCAATACAATACAATACAATACAATACAATACAGCTGGCATATGTAGATGGATACATATATAGCAAGCAAAGCAATCCCATGAGCGCAGCCATCAAATTGCACAAGACAAGACAGGTGCGGTCGACGACGCCCCTCTTATTACAAGCATCTGGGTTGATCCCTCACAATTCACAAACGGGCTGGGCTGAGGTAGCAGACACACACAAACACACACTCATTGATCGTTCGGCAAGCTGAAACACAAACTGTCACCCGCAGACATGCAGGCAGGTGGCTGCTGCCTCACACGGCCAGGCCTGCACGCGACACCGCCGTGCGGGCATCAGGCTCAGGCACCAACAAGCAGGCGCCTGGCCGTCTTTCTTGTAGTAGCGCGAGTGCACCGGGCCTCGTATAGGGAAGGGTGGTGGCCAGCCAGCACGCAACACCGGCGTGCAGGCATCAGGCACCAACTAGGCGCCTGGCCGTCTTTCTTATTTCAAAGCCAAACCAAACACACTGAGAACTGAACTTTGTTGGAGTTTTTATTTTATGGCTCAGTATCGTTTATTCTGAGCATGCATATATCACTGAAGCTCTTTGTTGGTGAAAGTGATATCAAGCTAGGTGGACCATGCAACTATGGTTGCTGTTCTTTTCGCATGCAGCCACTGCAGGCAGCTGGCAATGAGGACAGACAACTAGTACAAGTTAGTTGTAATGAATGGCAACCAGCTTCATCACCATCTGTATTGATGCACAATGTTTGGCTTCAACAGAATAGAACCACAAGCAGAAAGCATATAAATCAATCTCACACCACAAACTCGATCATAGATTATTGTAGCTTGATTAATGGTTCACCAATACAATACAATACAGCTGGCATATGTAGATGGATACATATATAGCAAGCAAAGCAATCCCATGACACAGGTGTGGTTTTATTACAAGCATAATCTGGTCTGATCCCTCACAATTCACAAACGGGCTGGGCTGAGGTAGCATACACACACAAACACACTCATTTATCGTTCGGCAAGCTGAAACACAGTCTGTCACCCGCAGACATACAGGCAGGTGGCTGCTGCCTCACACGGCCAGGCCTGCACGCGACACCGCCGTGCAGGCATCAGGCACCAACAAGCAGGCGTCTGGCCGTCTTTCTTTTTATTTCAAAACCAATGCAAACACACAGAAGAGGCCAATTCGGCTGGCCGGCCGTCATGGCAGGCAGGAGCAAACCTGAAGCCCCATACCTCCCTGGCCTTTCACACAACAAACAAACTGATCCATCAACAGCAAGGCAGGATCATCCATCACACGAACAGTAATCCACAGAGACGATCGACGGCGGCAGCAGCAGCAGCAGATGCATGCTTTCTTGAGAATGAGCTAGCTTCCATCACCTGTCGGCAGAAGAGTGAGTGATCGAGAAGCAAATCAAATCAATTAAGAGCAAGTATATATAAGTTGCGCCTTATTATTAATTGGGCTAGCTAGCAGCTACAACAACAGATGTAGCTCGTATGGATGTATGTACTGATTATTACCTGAGAACGGTGGTTCTGAGCATGCGCCTCTTGTAGTAGCGCGAGTGCACCGGCGCCTCGTACAGGGAAGGGTGGTGCCTGGCGTCCCACTCCAGCACGTCCCACACGTCCTTCTCGATCTCCACGGTCGGCCTCCTCTTTCCTGGCTCGTTGCGGCCCTTCAAGGCCGGCAGCCGGCGCAGGCTCCAGCATCCCCTGATCCTGATGGTCTCCAGCGCGGGCGCCAGCATCTCGGCGGCCTTGCATATCTGCTGCAGCGCTGGTAGGTCGTGCAGGTGGATGGTGGTCAGCTTCGGGAACTCGACGCTTGTATGCTGGTACTTCTCGTCAGCATGACCCAGTACGAAGACGTGCCTGAGTTCGCCGCAGTGGACGATGTGGAGGGTCTCCAGGCTGGGGAAGGAGGGGCGCTTGCCCATCGCAAGCCCGAACCGGAGGCTTGGACAGCAGCGCAGGTGCAAGTGCCGCAGGCTTCTGAAGCGATCACCAGAATTGTAGATGACACCTTTGCTCCATACACAACGAGCCATCCGGAGATCCGACACCCAGATGGTCTCCAGCGTACCATCCCAATCCTCTGCGCCCGGAGGAAAGACGGCGTGCAAGCTGGGGCACCTCTCGACACGGCACCACCTGAGGGAACGCCAATATCTAGGCATAGCATTGCTGCAGGTCGAGACATCATGCACATGCAGGGATTTGGTATGATCTCCCATCAATGAAGCCAAATTATCACCAGATGGATCTGCCTCCACCTCACTCTGCACGCTACGACTTCCGTCACCAATCTCGATATGGCAATCCAATTGTCCCGCTGGGCCTTGCGGGAAGGCCTGCATCGGGGTTGGGCTATTACCAACCTTAGTAAAGATGTCACAATACATGTCTCTAGCAGCTATGTCATAGTGTCGTTGGTCATCAATAGATCCAGTCACCTTCTCCTTGTCTGTTGTTGTTTCAGGTTGAATAATCTCCGTACATGCAGGTGAAGAGGCGATGCTGATGTTGAAATAACAATGGGCAACCTTGGAAAGTGCACTATGTAAGGGAGCCAAAATGGACCGAGCATGCCTAGCATCCGCAAAGATTGCGTGCACCTGCAGCTGGAAGGATTTCTGTTGAGCGCAAAGGGACAATGGCTGAGCACATCCAACTCTAGGCCGTGTGTCTATGCAGATCAATTCCAACTGCTTATATGAGCCCCATTTTATTGCACAAAGGTTCTCGCAGCCTAGCAGGAAGAGTCGCTTGAGCCTCGGAACATCCACCACCATAGCTCCAAAGTCAAGTACCTTGATCGCACATCCTGAAAGGTCCAGCTCCTCCAGGTTGGGAAGCCCACGCAAGAACAGATCCTCCAACAATGTGCAGCCTTCTAGAGATATCTTGCAGGCTCTGACATCCTTCTTATTATCTACAGCAGATGGACCCTTTGGACGAGAACTCATTGGAGGTAGCTTGCCGGTTGATGTCCAATGGGACGCTGGTCCATAGCCATCAAAACTGAATGACCTTACCAAGGAGTTGTGCAGCACAACATTCTCAAGCCCATCGCAACCATCTAGAACAAGTACTTGAAGTTTGCTTGCTTCTGATAGGCTTGTCGCTAGGCTTTTCATGTCACTGTTACCAGACAAATCAAGTATTTCTAGCTGTTTCTTACCCACAAATGAGTTGTTGATGTCCAAGGATGTCGTCTCTTCCTGATGTGTAGGTTTGATTATCCGAAGTCTTTGAAGGTAAGGTAACCTTTTCTCTAATAATTGACCCGTATACTGCCAGCACCTAGCTCCTTCTATATTTAGTTCTGTGATATTAGCCATAAGACTTATCTTTTCCTCAGATAAGATCTCACCCCAGTCTGTGTAACGCAGGTCAAGCACCCATAGGCTTTGCAGAAATGCCCACTTGGTGATACAGTCTCGTCCTTCAGGTTCACTACTTGTATTATTATTCTGATGTGTGCAATTGCCCAGCCCAAGAAATCTTAATTTATTGCAGTGGAGGAAAGGAGGGGATACAAAACTGAAGGCACAACATGAGAGAACTAGCACACCAAGTTTGTTGCACTGTTTAAACAAGGTATTTGGTAACCTAGGTGCACTCACAGTCTTGTCAAATGATAGGAAGATTGATGATGCCATTGCCAGTATAGTTTGCATGTTGTCATTAAGCATCTTATTCTTTGAGGTGACAGAAATCCAACGGTAAGGCCTCTCTTTATATTTATCAACGCTGCCATCATCTTCATCTTCGTCTTCATCTTCATCTTCGTCTTCATCTTCATCTTCATACTCATCTTCATCTTCATCTTCATCTTCATCTTCATCTTCATCTTCATCTTCATCTTCATCTTCATCTTCATCTTCAATTAGAAGATGAGAAGAGTCTAAATGTTCCGTCATCTTAGCAAACACCATACCAAGCAGGGAATCGTCACCGTTAAAATTTATGTCTGAATCCAATGTATTGACGATTTCCCTTGTTCTGTCCCCTTTTTGAATGATCCCATCGCATATCCAAAAGTTGGGAGCATGAGCTGCCCAATCCAATCCAAAGTTGTTGCGAGAATTGCAGTGCAGGAAAAATCCATAGCGACAACAATCTATGATCATTGTTAAGTTGATGTCCCTCATAAATGGATAGTTAGCAACTATGTTGGCAGCCTCTTCAAGAAACAGTGCATTAAGCTGTGAGTCTGATAAGTCCTTAAGCACAGTCTTGTAAGTCCAAATGAAGAGGCCTGTGTGTCTTAAATTCTCTGCTAGTCTCTGAATGCTATGGCCCCCATGCATAGTCACAAACCTTCTTCCAAATGTCCATATTATCATGCCGACATACTCTAGAATACCAAATTCGGTTAGGGAAACCTCATCAGTACTTCCATTAATGAAAATCATCATAAATCTACTTTCCCTTAGGGTTTGGTCAATCATTACTGAAACTTGTCGTATCACATCCCTAGATCCATGATCCACTCCGTTGAAGTCATCCTCCTCATCTTGCTCCTCAAACATGGCCATGGTCTTCCGGTCAAGTTTCAGCTGCTCTGCAATTTTTCTCTGCATCACCCTTTTACTCTCCCACCTTGAGCAATCAATGTAAATGGTTCTGCCAAAGCATAATTTTGGAGGAGACTTCATAAATGGAATTGCTTGTGCTATGGATCTAAGAACCGCGGTAGCCCCAAAGCCACGCCAACCATCAAAGTAGATTATGTTGTTCTTGAGGTTCCCCTGAATAAGATCCAGTATTTCCTCTCTTGCCGCAACGACATCTCTTGCGTGGATTCTCTGCAACATGGGGACAGCTAGCTAGTTAAGATCCGCTCGGCATTTATTTATATAAGGAATTTGGTAAAGAAAACAAAGTAGCTAGGAAAGTGTGTGTGTGTGTGTGTGTGTGTATGCATATAATTAATTAAAACATGAGAGTAGCTAGGGGGTACCTCCTGTACTGGTGCCATGGTGAAACTCCTCTGCTAGTGTACAAGAGGAACAACCGTATTAATCAGGTAGCATATCTGATCATCGAAAGAAGACCTATCCGATCCCCAACGTGCGGTGCATTTGATTCCCTGTATGCAGAACCTGTCGTCAGTGAGTCGATCAGTGCCAGTAGTAGGGATGAGTAAGAATTAATTAATTTAATTTATATATATATTTTTCGAGACTTCGCACGCACGTACGCAGCATCGACGATCTTCCATGGATTTTATTTTATTGAACAATAATTAATGTACATATATATATATATACACCGTACCTTTCAGTTTCTGCGGAAGAGGAACAAGGGAGATGAAGATGCTTGGACGAGATGAATGAATTGAACGATCCAATGCTTGGACGCTTGACGAAGCAGGGAGATCGATCGATTCGAGAAAAGAAAAGAAAAGAAAAGAAATGGATAACTTTTTTTGAATGCAAAAACAATTTAGTTTCTGCGGAAGAGGAGAGGAGAGGAGAGGAGATGATGATGGAGAGTGAGTTGGTGGATCGAGATCACGGACACACCAACGGAAGAAGCCGATGGAATTAGAATAATGAAGTAGCGAGCCAGCTGTTGCCGTGTACGTCGTTCTGGCGACGCAAGTCCTTTCGAGCCAACAAGCAGGCAACAAAAAGCAAAAGCAAAAGCCAGATCCCTTGCTTGCATTTGCATTGTTCGTTGCAGCATCTGATCTACTATATGCATGGACGCTGCTTTTCTTCTGTGTTGCATTGGGAGGCTGCTTTATTTGTCTTTCCTGCAAAGCTTGGCATGCATATATGAGCTGCTCCCTTTGCTTTTTTTTTTCTTCCCATTCTCATCTCACAAGATACATGCATCGTGGTGCTGATGAAGTGATGATTCTATCAGCCTTTTGCTTCTTTTTTTTGTTTTGTTTTACCCCTCTCCTTTTTAAAAGAAGGGTTAATTAGATTGATGTCATTACGACTTTCGCTAAGGGAGGTACACCACTACAGTTATCTATTTCGAACCATGTCATTACAATTTGTTCTCTATCCAATATATGCCACCAGCCGTGCCTATGCCACACGACGACGGCCGGTCCCACGGAGCAGCCGCACGCATGTATCCCTTCAATTTGAAACATTGAGCCTGCTTTGATTTGGTAGACTTTAATCATCATTATCATTAATAGCCATCGGATCTCTACTATTTTCTAAAAGAATTACCCGCCTATGCCATTTTGAAAAAATCATAAAATAACTCCCTAAATTTGCGTCTAACTATCAACTTCTGCTATTATGAAAAGAAAATAACACCTAAATTTGTATATACTAGATTACACGCATATGCTTTTATGAAATAAAATACAAAGTAACTCTAAATTTACATATAAATTAGCACCTATGCCATTATGATAGATAAAGCAAATTAGCCCAAAATATGGTTTTAAATTATCCGTATTTTCCATTATTATAAAAGATGAAACAAATTAAAGTAGTGACTTTAATTTCTATCTACGTTACCTACATCCCCGCCATTATTAAAAATAATTTAAAACATCACAAATCAACGTCTGAATACCATCATAAGCTATTAAAAAACAATTTAATAACCATAAAGTATGCTATATGTTTTTCTATATTACATGTTTCTGCAACTATTAAATTTAAAGTAACCTTAAATTCTATGTTCAACCATGTAGACCGAGTAAATTGCATATATTAGAATAAATATTTATTTAGTTTATAAAACATGAAATGCTCTTAACAAACCACGTACCAATAATACTAACATCCACTTTAAAGTGTACTAATATTCCATGATAACAAATTTGTAAGCTTTAACTTTAGATAAGTTTATACATTTTTATTGAAACATTGTGACATATAAATGTTTGTAATTTAATTTAATCACTCTATGTTTTTATAAAATAATACTACTACACGTACATTTCTTTGATAGTTGATTTTTGAAGCCATTGTAGTAACTAAGAGTGTACTCTAGAACATTCTGTATATTAATAAAATACAAAACAAAAAACTAAATAAAAAATATCGTAAGCACTACACTTTCAACTTAACATGTGGATAAAAGAAATTACAACAACTAACAAGACCAAAAGTCAAAGGACAAAATATAGTTTCATGACGTCATAAAGGGGTGCAACAAGAGTTGATATAATTTAAGCTTATATTTTAACTAAACACATATTAAAGACCTACAGTCATGCAATGTAAAAAACAACAATACATATCTTAATATTACTAACTAGAGAAAGTCAACGGACCTCCACATTAATCCTCACAAGATGCATTTGAAAAAAGATAAATTCTGAAAATTTTCATAATAATTAGAAAATTCTGACCATTAATTCGGTTGACTCGAATCATAGCAATTAATCTATTTAGTTTTCCAAAAGAAATTACCCATTGCTTACATTATGAAAAAACATAGATAACCACACATAAATCTAAATGTGAAAATCATTAACCAAGGCGGGCACCGTAAGCCAACCACCTAGGCGGTTGCCGTTAATGGATTAACTGAGGCGGGCAACGTAAGCCAAACGCCTCGGTTAATTGATTATTTTTGGAGGCGGTCGTTATAAGTGTCCGCCTCCGTAAATCGTTTTACGGAGGCGGGCATCTTAAGATGTCTGCCTGGGTTAATGATTGCACCAAAAAATAATTTATAACTTTTTTATATGAACTCGGATGAAGACAAACTTTATAGCAAAATTATAGCTCTTGACGAGATCTACAACTTTGTAGTTGAATTTTTTTTGAACTGAAACTGTTTAGAGTCCCAAAATGTTGTTGTAAGTGCATAGATTTTAAAATTTAAAATTTAAAATTATCAAACAATCTCAGATGTTGACATGATCTATACAAAAGTTATAGTTATCACTAGAATCTACAACTTTATAGTTGAAAAGTTTTTAATTTGAAGATGTTTAGTGTTCCAAATATGTGTTCGAAGGTTATAGATTTTAAAATTTAAAATTTAGAATTCCTAAACGATCTCAAATGTTCACATGGTTAATACCAAAGTTCTAGTGGCCGATCTGATCTACATGTTTGATATTGACAAGTTTTCGATTTGAAGTCAAGTTGAGTCTCAAATATGTGTTTGAAATTCAAATCTTTTGAGACTCAATTTTTTGAATTTTTTAAACTATCTTTGACGGAGATACATCCTATACCAAAGTTGTAGTACTTGACAAGATTTAAAACTTTTTAGTTAAAAGTTTTTCATTTGAGTTCATTTAGTAGCCAAAATATCCAATATAAAATGATGAAATATTGATATAAAACATAGCATATTATATATATACGTGAATGAGTGTGTGTTGTGGTGGTAGAGGCGCGGTAGCGTTGAGTGCCAGGTTGTGGTTTTGACTCTCCAAAGTCACATTTTTTAGGTTTTCTAGAGAACATTAACGGAGCCGGGCATCAATTAATGGGAGCCTCCGTTAATCGATTAACCAAGATGGGCATTGCAACCGCCTCCGCCGTGTAATAGTGTAATATAAAGTAATCTTTATAGTTGCGTCTAAATTACCTATCTAAAATAGCACTCAAATCAACGTCAAGATTACTAATATATGCTGATATGGTGTAGAATTAAATAACCATAAATACACTATATGTTTATAAATTACTACCATTGTTAAATTCAAAGTAAATGCAACTATGTATACCAAGTATGCATGCATACATTAATAAACACTATATATGTTTTATAAATGTATAGTTTATCCAAAGATGGATGCGATCAGCGAGGTGACGAGTGACGAGGGCAAGTCTACTGACTACTATAAGTGGCAAGGTATCACGGCAGCTAGGGAGTGCATAAGTGGTGGAAGTTAATTACTAAGAGTATCTCCAAGAGGCTTTTCTAAATCTCTCTCTAAATCATCATTTAGAAAGTCATTTACATAAAAATCGCTTTCTATATTTTTTCATTCTCCAATAGTTTTTCTATATCTCATGCGCACTCTAGAGAGACATTTTCATCTTCTATTTTTGGCTAACGAAAAATCCAGAATACAAGATGACTATATTTGGATAATTATTTAGAGAAGCCGTTGGAGGGTAGTTTTTCACAAAAATCTCTATTCCTATCATTTAGGAATGATATAGAGAGTCTCTTGGAGATGCTCTAATGATTTGAAATTAAAATTTTCACCGGCGCCTGTGCACTCGGCAAGTTCGCCCCTCATTGCCTGAGGCAAATTAATTATGGCCGCCCAACATTATTGATCTAAGGCTGATGGTGCTTTACTTGCCAATTAGAAGAAGGGCGGTTGGAGTTTTATTGCTTGTGACCATGAAGGCTCAGTGGTCGTGGCTGGTGCTGTATCAATAGATGTTGTACATGATGCCCCATGTGCATAGAAGTTGGCTTGTCCGAGAGCTCTAGAGGTAGCCTCAACAAATGGCATGATAAGGATCATCATTGAAACATATTGTTCTTCTCTTGTATGAGCCCTGAAGTCCACAGGTTTTGATCAAGCTCTTGCCGCTGTCTGGTTTAGGGACACTAGATTTTCTATGAGTCTCAATTTCATTTTTACTGATGCGGTATTTGTACCCATGATTGTAATTGGTGTGCTCATGAGATTGGACACCAGTATCGGTATGGGGACCAAGGTGAGCATATTTTAAAAAAAAACTCGACCGGTGAGGGAAGAACCGCCCTCACGGCAATGTTATAGGAAGGGACCATATGACCCCGGTCGAGAAAACCCTCGAACCCTGGCACAAACCCTGACGGGCCGAGTGAACCGGGACAGATCATCAGGCCAGGGCCGACGCAGTCACCAGGCTCGTGTGCACAGCGAGGGGAT